AAGTATTCCTTTATATGTGGTTCAGAGTTCTGGGACCATCCCCTGAGGCTACTTGGTTGGGTTTTCTGTGTTGTTGTTGGTGGAGCTCTCTGCTATACGTCCACCCGATCCACCATCTTGTTTGTTCGCTCGCTACCTCTTTTTATATACTTGCATTGTCTCAGGTTATAGTTGTTTAGCATATCTCCTTTTAAATATTATGTATCGGTGTTAAAATTTTTGCTTCAACCATAAACATAATTTAAAAAGACCAAGAAGGAAAAATCCTACTGTATTTTACCCATATTTTGGCCTACCTGCTTCTTTCTTCCTTCCTTAACTTCCAAGGTTCCTTCTTTTATCATTTCCTTTCTGCCATTACTATAGGATGTTGTTGTTAGTTCCACTGAATCCATTCAGACTCATAGCAATCCTGTATAGGGATTCCAAGGAGCAACCGGTGTGTTTGAACTACCAAGCTTGCTGTTAGCAGTCCAGTATTTATCCTACATTGCTACACCAGCTCTCGGTCTTCTATATTATTTAGTTTTTCTTTATCTGAGAAATGTCTTAATTTCTCTTTCATTCCTGAAGCATATTTTTACTGGATACAGAATTCTGGGCTAACAGTTCTTTCAGCACTTGAAAATGTTGTACCACTTTTTTTCTGGATCTATTTTAGCAAGCCTCTTGGAATACCTGTGTGTGTGTGTATATATATATATATATTCAAGCTCATTGGCAGAGATCTCACAGGAGGCCAATTAAGATACTGACACATTGCATTCTTTCCTGACAAGTGACATTTAAAACATTCCTTCCTACTTGCAGATTTTAGAAATTTGCAGCAATGCAAATTTTATTTGTGACACTTTCCTTCCCAGTCAACATGTGAAAGAAAGAGAGAGAAAAAACAAACAAACAAGGTAAAGTAAGAGAGAGGAGAGAAGAAAAGAAGGAAAAGAGGCAGGAAAGGAGGAAGGAAGGGCCCTTCTGAATTCCATTCTTCCCATTGAGCCTCTGCTTCAGGCACGGCAGTGTTTTGTGAGTGAGCTCTGTGGTCGTGGGCAGCTTCTTCAGTCCTGTGCTTTAGCACTGCTGCCTCTGCTTCTAACTCCAGAACTACTCAGGCCTGTGAATCCTGCTTTCTAAAAGGAAACTGCTACCTCATTCTCACTTTTGTTTCAGCCCTGAGGGTTAGCCTTAGCATGTGCTTAACTGAAGTTGTTTTACTGTCCTGTTGAGCACAATAAAGACAAATGCTCCTGCCCTATGTTCCTCCAGATATTATCTTACCATAACTTTGTAATATTGCAGGCCTTGAGTAGCATATCTTCTTACTAATACCTTTAAAAAAGAAACCAAAAACGTTTGGGAACACTTCTAGTATTTTGTTTCCTTTTGTGTCCTTGGGAGATAAAGACGAAGATCTCCCAATGAGATGGATTGGCACAGCGGCAGTAGCTATGGGCTCAAATGTAGCAATTGTTGGTGTAGGACCAGGCAGTCTATTTGTTCTGTTGTGCATAGGGCCGCTGGGAGTCGATACCAACTCAATGGCACCTAACAACAACAACTCCACTCACAAGGAGCTCTGATAGTGTAGTGGCTTTTGCATTGGGCTGCTAACCTCAAAGTCAGCTGTTCAAATGCACCAGCTGTGCTGAGGGAGAAAGGTGAGGCTTTCTGCTCATGCAACGATTGCAGCCTTGTTGTTGTTGTTGTGAGTTGGACCTTGGACTGAGTCCAAGGTACTGAGCAGCACTCCATTCAGGAAGGCTCAGTTTGAAATGGTTTCATCCACTTCCTAAATTGGCCTCTTTCCTTCTGGTGTTTTTGTTGGATTTTTTTCCTTTACTTTGTCATTGTTTTCTGGGTCAGACATTTGTTTTCCAAACTTAGGGTTATTTTCTTATCACAGTGAGAGAAATGAAGTCAGTATTTTCTGGGTATGCCAAAAGCCGCTGTTGTCTAAACAAATATTCTAAACCAATCCTCACCTCTTCAGTGAATAATCTCATTCAAAAAGCATGTTCCAATTTCATTTTAAAAAAAAAACCCTATTCTTGGCCTGGATCCCTTTCAGTATATTCCGAACTTAAAATCCCAGTTTTAAGTTTCTTAATGTGTTCCCTCAGTGTATGAGCAAACCCTTGTATCCACAAGACAGGTTTTGCTTTGAAATTTATCTAAAAATGCTTCAAGAATTCTATACTAATCTTTCTGGGCTTCTCCTCTTAAATAGTTCCCAATTTTAGGGGTGCTTATATAACTATGAGAGTCCCTGGATGTTTTATAACCAACAGGTCAGTGGTTCGAATCCACCCAGAGGTACCTTAGAAGACAGAACTAGAGATCTACTTCACAGCCATTGTAAACCCTAGGGAGCACAGTTCTACTCTGACACCCATAGGGTCACCTGGAGGTAGAATTGACTTAATTGTGCTCATGAGGAACCTGAAAATAGACCAAAAAGCAGTGAGTGGCTCTAACAGAACACAGGGATATTGAATAGTTTAAAATCAGGAAAGATGTGTACCAGGGTTGTATCCTTTCACCATACTTATTCAATCTGTATGCTAAGCAAGTAATCCCAGAAGCTGGATTATATGAAGAACATGGTGTAAGAATTGGAGACTCATTATCAAACTGTGATATGCACATGATACAGTCTTGCTTATTGAAGGCAAAGAGGACTTAAAATACATACTGATGAGGTTTGGATTGTACCTCAATGTAAAGAAAACAAAAATCCTCACCACTGTACCAATAAATAACATCATGATAAATGAAGAAAATATTGAAATGGTCAAATAGTTTATTTTGCTTGGATCAACCATCAACATTTATGGAATCAGCAGTCAAGAGATCAAATACTGTGTTGCAACAGGCAAATCTGTGGTACAAGACCTCTTTGAAGTGTTCAAGAGCAAAGAAATCAGTTTGAGGACTACAGTGCACCTGACCCAAGCCATGATCATGGTATTTTCAAAAGCCTCATGTGCATGTGAAAGTTGGACAATGAATAAGGAAGGTTATAGAAGAATTGATGCAATGAGTTGCGGGGCTGGAGAAGAATATTTAAGGTACCATAGACTGCCAGAAGAACTCACAGGTCTATGTTGTAAGAAGCCAGGGCGGTGAGAATTCTTCTCTCATATTTCGGATATATCATCAAGAGGGACCAATCCATAGAGAAAGACATGATGGTTGGTAAAGTGGACTGTTAGCGAAAAAGATGAAGAGCCTTCAACAAGATGTATCAGCAGAGTGGCAGCAGCAACAGGTTCAATGGTGTGGATGGCACAGGACTGGGCAGTGCTTCGCTCTGTTGTGTGTGGGGTTACTATGAGTTGGAACCAAATCGAAGGCACCTAAGAACAACAATAAGGTTAAAGCAATAATAAAAACTTATCTTAGAAAGTCACACTCAGTAAAGCCAGTTTCAATAGTCCATATCTCTAACTACACATCTAACCTGCCAAAGTCAAAATACCGTCTAGCTCACACATACTAGGACATTAAAATCTGACAACTTCTGCCTTGGCCTCAGTCTTCATAGTTACTTAGGATCCTAGATACTAATTTTTTTCCCTTTTTTTTCAAGTCTTTTGCCAACTCACTTTGTTGTTGTTAAGTACCATGGAGTCGGTTCCGACTCATAGTGACCCTGCGCAGGGTTTCTGAGGCTGTAAATCTTTATGGGAGCAGAAAGCTTCATCTTTCTCCCGCAGAACAGCTGGTAGTTTTTAACTCCCGACCTTGAGGTTAGCAGCCCGATTCGTAACCACTATGCTACCAGAGCTCCTTGGAATGACCTCTTAGCATAACAAAAAAAAAGTCTATTTCCAAATGACATTGCATCCGCATGTATATAGGGGTTAGGATGTACAACACATATTTTTGAGGTATACAGTTCAATCCATCACAAAGATCCACAAATCATACACTTTCCTACTCTCTGGATTTAGAATCAATTGATAGGTAATGTATTAGTGAAAGTTGAACACAAAGCATCCACTTTACTGAAATATATTGAGGGATATGACTTAGATATGTCACACAATAGAGATTCCTAATAGGATAGGAGAAATAAATGAAATGTGTGGAGAATTGCCTTCATGAACAACTGCTTCCTCTGCCATGAGACCAGAACTAGATGGTACCTGGCTGACATTATGGATCATTTTGATAAAAGATTTTAAAGAAGAATTCTGATCAAAACAGAGAAAATGTTAGGAACAAATTGAAATTCTCCTTGAATCCAGATATTTGGGAGCCATTGAGGCTGAATAAACCCCTGAAACTACTATCCTGGGATAATCTTTGAACCTTAAAACTAGTGTTGTGGTTGTTGTTAGGTGCCATCAAATCCACACAGATGCCTAGCGACCTTATGCACAACAGAATAAAACACTGCCCTGTTCTATGCCAACCTCACAATTGTTGCTAAACGTGAGCTCATAGCTGCCATCACTGTGTTAATTCATCTCATCCGGGGTCTTTATCTTTTTTTCCAACCCTCCACTTGAGCAAACGTGATATCCTTTTCCAGGGCCTGGACCCTCCTGAAAATATGTCCAAAGTATGAGAGACAAAATCTCACCATCCTGGCTTCCAAAGAGCATTCTGGCTGTACCTCTTCCAAGACAAATTTGTTTGTTCTTCTGGCTGTCCATGGGACTTTTAGTATTTTCCTGCAACACCTTAACTCAATGCATCAATTCTTCTTTACTCACTCTCCAGCTTGCACATGCACATGAGGTTATTGAAAATGCCATGGCTTGGGTCAGACCCACTTTAGTCCTCAAACTGACATCTTTGCTCTTTAACTCTTTTTTTTTTTTTTTGAGGGGAAGAGAAGAGGCTCCATTGCTTTTATTGAAGGTCCCTGACAACATAGATTTACTTTTTCTTCTCCACGTCCTGCTCTGCGGCCTCCTTGGCCCTCTTTGCCCGGATGCCGAAGAGCCGGGCGTGGGCACGGGCCATGCGGAGACTGGCAAATGCCTTAAAGTCCTTCTCTTCCTGTGTGATGACCCGGGCTTTCTCCTTCTTGTAAACATTCCGGATGGGCATCACTGGTTCGGTCAGCTGAGTAGCCAGTTTGAGTTCTTCAGCAGAGCTGTCTCCCTTCTTGGGGGCAGAGGGCTTCCTGGGGAATAAGATGAGCTTGGAGCGATATTCCTTCAGCCGCTGTACGTAGCCTGCAAGGACTCAGTGGATTTTTGTTCCTCCTCCTGGGGTCCACAGAGATGCCGATGGTCCGCACCACCTTATTGTGGATGCCGGCCACCCTCAGTTCTTCCAGGCTGAAGCCCCTGCCTGCTCGGACTTTGGTGTGATACCGCACCGTGGGGCAGCGCGCAATGGGCCGGATGGGTCCCGACGCAGGGCGCGGGGCAATGCGGCGGGCTTTGGCTTGTCTGGCCTTGCGTCTGCGGATCTTCCGTGCAGGCTGGTTGAACCACGTGGCTACTCGCCGCTGCCAGTCCTTATGGAAGTGAGGCTTCAGAATCATGCCATTCTGGGCATCATGGCTGGCTACGGCCCTCCTCGAAGCGGAAAGCCGAGCGGAAAACTCTTTAACTCTTTAAAGAGGTATTGTGCAGCAGATTTGCCCAATGTAATGCATCATTTGATTTCTTCACTTCAGGGCTTTGGGATACAGGGCTTTGGGATACAGGGATTGAGGCATGGTTTGAAAAGGTTAAAGAGGGTATTAAT